AGGGGGAGGGCGGGGGGAGGGGAGAGGAGATGGGGGGGGGGGACATACCAGGGAGCCTTCTAACAGTGATACCAAGGAGAGGAGACACAGGTAAGAAGAAGGAGATAGAAAGGGGATAAAGGAGTGAAAAATGGAATGGAAGCAGTCAGGAGGTGAGGAGGGAGGGAGTGGGGGGTGAGGGATGAACATCTGTTTGGTAATCAGTCTCTCCCCTTAGTGCAGTGTAACGCACACTGACACCTACTTGATAATTGGTGAGCCTGCCCTCTCCCTCAACGCTTGGCTAAATGGTTGCTTGATACTGGGGAGAGCAAAGGGACTAGCTGTTGGCAGCATAATCTGTTTACTTGGTGCAGCTTAGGTAAAGACGCACAGAAGACTGCCTGTGTGTGTGTGTGGCTATAGTGTAACACTTACAGTTAGGTTATTAGTCTGACAATGTGCTCAAGATGTGACTTGAAACGTGCGTGAAATGTGTATTACAACCTTTTAGCAAAGCTTCATTGCTATTCAAGGATAAATATGACCTCTTTTGTCTCTCTTATCCTAGGTGCTGTCCTTAAAGATTCCCCTCCACACCGATCTCCTCCTTCTACACTGCAATCTTACTCAGTGTGCAGAAGCTGAAGGGATGCACACAAGGCAGGAGAATGAGCTCCAGAGCTGAGAGGAGAAATAAAGGAATGGAGGGGAGGAGGTGGGCCTCTTTGCTCCGGTCTCGACCACGGGTATTCTTGGGTTGATAATACAGATGTGGATGTTATTGCTTGAGAATACGCGTAGTCGAGTGGAAGCTTTATCATCTACTGTGGACCAAAAGCAGAGCGCTATTCAGTAGACTACAATGGCAGAGACTAGGCAGACACATAAAAATGTATAACCAAGCTTGAGGAGGTGACACAGACATGGGGTGGTTTTTAATTAAGCACCCAGAGGTGATTTTTTTTTTTTTTTTTGATGGAAAAAGGCTTATTTTGTTCAATCAGAAAGGTTTTTAAATAGAACGCAGCCAGGGCCTGCCAGGTGCCCAAATCAAATCCACCCACTGAAAAGGTTTTATCATCGTAGGTTTATCAACCATGTCACTCTCTACACCTGGAGGAGGAAATGAGTTTGTGTCACCGGCCAGATTCAGCCTTTCCTGCAGAGATGCCAGCGGGGAAGACTTGCACCATGCCACTAAGCTAAACCCCCGAGCATTAGTTCAGGGAGCTTAACACAAAAGTCTTCAGACTCAGATGTTAATTCCAAACCTTCTTGATTACACACCCTTATCAGTCAGTCGTGCACCACAAGTGAGCCTATAATCTTATCAGCTGATGAGTGTCTTTCACAGCCCTTCACACTCTGCACCGAACATTTTTCTCATACTGATTAGAAAGTTTGCAAAATCGGTGCCAAAAAACGGCAGCCCGAGGGCCCTCGGACATAAACCAATGCAATGCCACAAGACGGTACATTCTAAGCATGTATAACCATCATCTCATTGCACTACAAACTGCTCATGCACTCCTATTTATGACTCCCCAGCTTGTGCTATAAATGTGTGAGAGTTTGATGCCTGTAGCAGCAACAGGAGACAGTAACACATGAGGACATGTCAAGGCTTGCTCACACGGCTGACATTTCAGCAACGTGCAGATAGATCCCCATACGTATGAACGCACACACACTGCAGCTGGGTTCACTGGGTTCATGTGCCAGTGGGGAAATAAGGGACTGATTGATTTTATGGGTAACTATTTTTAGTCAGAATGATGGATGTTTATGTCTTTTATCGATCAAGTTGAAGTGTAAGTTTGAAGAATTCTTGGACGTCGGGCATGCTGATTAATCAGGCGGCAAAGGTGCTAAAATAAAACATCCTGACTTACATTTTTAGTACATTAGTGTTATTGCTAAGTATTATAAAGGCAAAGAAATAATCTCATTGCAAATTCAGTAATATATTATCATCTGTTAGCAAACACGCCCGTGATAAATTACACTCTTGCCATTTTCTATTTCATGATTTCTTACTACTGCGTAAGCAAATCTCTTATTTATTAACACAGTATGTAATTATAATTTATTGTGCAAACTTGATTGGATAAAGCCATTTGTGTGGTTTTGTGTGTATTTGTATATGCATGCATGTGTGCTTCTAAGCAACAAAATGACTATTGTGAGCACAGCTCCAGGTGCCTAGCAACCGAATCGCTCTGTTTCCTTGGCAACAGTTGCCTCGCACTCACTGTGTGGGTGATTGGCAGCCTTGACAACGGAGACGGAGTGACACTTGACCTCGCGTGCTGAATGGGAGAGGAGAAAGAAGGAGCGAGAAATAGAAGAGAGGGGGAGGGAGTGGGAGGGGACGTGCAGAGACAGAGGAGAGAATAAGTGATAATCATTCTCCATTGTAATCATCCTCCAGCATGTTTCATAAGGCGTCGTCAATACCTCTCCAGCTGGGGTCCATCATCAAACACAATACACAGTGTGGCGCGCGCATGCACGGACACACTCTTCCTGGGTGGAGAGCCCAAGCAGGCACTCCACATCTCATCTATTATCACTCAGCGCTGCCTGGTGCACAGCCTTGCTACACTGTGTCTTCTTTCATTTGTGATCTGCTACATCCTGTGCTCTGTAGGGATGAATGGATATTGGACTCCTGAAAATATGTCACGGTCACAGATGCCACAGGAGAGTAGATCAGAAGCTGCTCCCAGAGACATTTTACTTTGAAATAAGAGCTGCTAGCATCTTATGATAGTGTTTTTGTGGTTCTCTGTAGATTGAGGGTGCTGTACTAGGATGCCTTTTAATCAAAAAGTATGTTCTATATACAGTAGCTAACTAAAAACTGGGAACAGTATCACTAATAAAAGCTTTTCTTGTCATTAAGTGGAGTGAAATAAAAACCCACATATGAAAGTTGTCTGTTCTCTCGCCTTGTTCAACTTTTACCTATGCTCAACTCAACACAATTCATAAGCACAGTAATTTGAGCTTATTGTTCTGGTACTTAGAGAGATATTAGATATTAAAGCCAGCTCTAATATCTTAACTCTGGCATAGTTCCTCTATTTGTCACCAGCCTGTGGTGTTCAGTGCTGTACAGGATGTTTGAATCACATAAGCTCTAATCATCAGACTATTACGTTCGACTAAACCAAACCAAGGACAGACAACCACATCTTGATGATAAAAAAAATAAAGATATCATGTTTTTAAATCTTTTGCTCCCCGGACCAACATGAAGTCTTTGTGTAGCAAATAAAACACAGCATAGTTTTTACTTCATTATACAATATAATGAACACCAACCAACACTTACTTGTATCAAGCGTTATTTCCCTTTATTTCCAAAATCATACTTCTCAAATTCATTAGGTTTGAGAAATGGCTTTTTATGCTATTAAACTCAGTAGTAAGCTCGATGGAGACTACAGCATTAGATGGAGTATTTTGTACATAAACTGATGTTTGTATTTGGCATTTTAATTTCTTGAACATCCAAGTTAAAAAGATACAATAAACTGAAAAAAAGGAAGAATTTTAAGAACTTCGGAGTTAATCATAAATATTACACATTTTTGTTCCTCTCTCCAGTGGAACGACAACGCTGTAACACAGCTGTCTGAGGATGAGGAGAGCTGTGAACAACCCTCCTAACTTCATTCTTGACTGAAGATAATCAAGGATTACATAGTTCTGCAAACACCAAAAGCAAAAAGGGAAAATACTTGGGCCAACTATGCTGCATTCAGGTGAGATGGTAAAAAAGAATCGCTAAACGTGACATCATCCCAGTGTTGCTGCTGTGCCCACATTCAAACCAAGGTTTCCACCCCCACCTAAACTTTGCAAGGCCTGGCAGTGCAGCCTGCTTGCAAATGTTCTTCTCTAACTTTAGGCTGGTGAGGAATAAAAAGAAAACCCTCCATAAGGTGTCTTAGTGAGGTGTTGGACCACCGTGTGCCACCATTCAGTGTCCTCTTGTGTCATCCTGGAAGACACCACTCACCCGTCTGTAGTTCCAGTTGCAGCCAGAGCAGGAAAAAATGAACATCTCTTAATGTTTTCAACTTCTAATACAAATACACCTTCTCACAATGCTAATCAAAAGGTTTTTTATTGAGTCTACATTAAAATGCCAGGATCTGAGCACATCCTCTTACTAGTCCAATGGCTTCTGATTAAAATTATATTTGCTCCACTTAAAACAACAACAAAAAAAAAACTACCAGTTTAAAACAAAATAAAAAGAACATTTTTTGTAATCTTCAACATAAACTACTATTTCTACATCTAAGGCTTCTTTGAGAGCTGCCAGGAAAAAAAATGAAAACAAGACAGCCCTGCCTAATGTGTGAGAATAAAGCAGTACTGCAAATAAATTATGTACAAGAATAAAGAGTAAATACTGCAGTTGTGGGCTAAACCCTTATTCAGATGCTTGTTTTTGCCTGACAAGATATTTCCTCTCACCAGGCAGGTTACATGTTAAAACCTTTCACTTGTTTCAAGGTTTTTGCCCTTAATTATCATAAGATACAACTTGTTACTATGGTTTTATTACTGTTCAGAGAAAATGAATGCTTGAAATTAGAATGACCACAATTATAAAGCTGTTTGATTAACAAGTACAAAACTGCCTTGTATCTGATAAATGTACCTGAGTGTAGTTGTACTAGGCTTAAGACATGTGGGGTATTGAGAATAGATATTTTTACATTTCTTTAAATCTTAGCAAGTGAAATATTCCTGTTCTGTTGGCAGAAAATTCCACTTAATATTTCTCCCACTTTACTAATTTTCTTTGAGAGCTGTGTTTCTGCAATGAGGAAGAGTTTGGACCTTGTCTGTGCTGAAGACCTCACATTGTAAATGAGACTGTTCATCACATGGCTGTAAATTTCAAGTGACCATACAGAAACCTGTGAATAAGACCAGTTTCATAAATGTCTTTGGATTGGCTTTGTTTAATTGGCCCAGACCCACCAGCCACATCCTAATCCAGTTCCTGAGAGGCTACTGATTGGCTGATTCACAGGCATCTATCCAATCACTGTACACATCAACTGGCTCTGACAGATCTGAAGAGCAACAAATTAAGGATAAAAAGGATGCCACGTAATAGTAAGAGTTCAGATTAATGCAGGATGACAGGAACTTTGAAAATCAATACAGAATGGAAATGAAAAGTAACCGGTTCCCAGGAAAGCTGCGGTTTGTTTTAACACTGAGGGTGAGCAGTAGTCCCCAGTGGTTAATACACATTCTGAACCTGTCACTTATCAGAAGTAGGATCATGTGAATCCTGTTACAAGAGAGCGAAAGTCTCGCTACCTTCCAAAGCTAGCTTCTGTTCCACTAGCCTCAATAAAACAACATTTCTTTGAATATCTAAAAATTAAGTAAGATTTGAGCACCTCATAAATTTAATAAACAATTTTTTTTGTTAAAATCACAGTGAGTCAAAGTCTCATAGGATCTGGAGTTGTTCAGTACCAACACATTTGTCTGACAATTTAATTTTAACTCAGGATCCACTTACTAGTTTTCTGAAATTGTAACCATATCTTATCATTGTCAACAACAAAGGGTGTTTGCTTCAATTGCCCTGGAACTGCTGGTGAGACCTACAGAAAGTATGGTACTTTAATCTATATACATATACAGAAAGAAATCATAACTCTTGTCTCTGTTCAAAGACTGGTGTACGATTTGAGCGGCCTTCTTGAGCTTCATTCTGCCACTGTATTGTAGGTTTTCCTAAAGCTGAACACAACACGACTAAAACATGAAGGACCTTGGATAAAAATGGAATTAACTACAGACCAACCACTTGTTTTCATGTAAAAGGTTGTCCTCTAGGTTGCTCATGTGTGAGTAAGGATACAGGTGATGGGTGTCTGGAACTCCTCCAAACAAACTGTGCATGATATTATTCCTGTATTTCTGCTTCTCTCCCTGTTGACAGACCGGGAAAACACGTTTCAGGCAACAATAAGCTCAGGAAACAACAAACAAAATTTTAAAACAACTGTAGTGGGATATTGTGTGATTAATTACATTTTGACATCACATGATTTCTCGTGGTTGCAAAACGGACAGGTGAACTGAGTTTCCAGGTCTCCTGTCATCTTCTTCTTAGGAGGTGGTTTTCTTTTGGACTTGCGGCGACCCATTGTCCCACAAACTGAATCAAGTCTGTGTGTGAAGGAGACAAAAATTAAGCAGCTTCCCCAAGAAGGTTCGATAGGTGGATGCCACCAGAGATAAACTATAAGCAAATACATGACTAAAAACAACTGCGGTCTGCGGCATATTGTTGGTAAGTTAGCAAGCCAACGTTAGCATGTTTGTTTAGATCTCTTGTTTAACATATAGCGCCTTATTATTTAAAAAGAACGGGTAATTGGACTCAAAACAACGCCTCTGATTATGTCTCGTCTTCCTGTAGTTATTACACAGGTCGTGGTTGTTAACTGTTATCTAGTAAAAGTTTAAGCTTGCTTACCTTTAGTTGTAGAAAACACACGTTGCGATAATGAGGAAACGGCATTCACAAGACCCGGCACCGACAAGTGTTCGAGTTAAATGATAGGAGGAGAGAGTACGGTTTCTGGACAACCATTGGCTTCGTGACACGTCAGTTAAGGAGATTGCCAGTGACGTAATTGTGTTTGACACAGCCTATTCCCGCGTGGTGGCGACAGAAGCTAACTTCACTCAGGTCAGGTGAGCTACTGTATGTATTTGCTTAAAAATGCTTCAGTAATTAATGTATTGATATGCCCCCGACACATATCAGAAGGTTAGCTTAGTTTAAATGGTATTTGTGTCATAGTATGTCTTATTTTCTCACTGTTTGGTATAACTCACTAATCACCTGCACCGTGTAGTCAACGTCCTCGTTGGACGACGAAGCATTAGCTATTTGAACACAGATTAAAATTTATTCGTTAGGTTATTCTAGCTGACCAATTAAGTGTGTCCTTCTCAACAGTTAAATCAATACATTGAATCCATAAAAGAAAGTGGCTATCATTATTATTTTTTTTTTTTTATTAAGGTTTTTTTGGCTCATTCTGTGGTGTGCCCTGCAATTGAGAAATGAAAACAACCATATGTTGTTTATATGGTTAAATACACAATTTTTATAGTTGTTACGTAACAACATGTGCATATTTTTTCAGACATGATTATAAGGTTCTGTGTTTCATATGGACTCAGTGGCCACATTATTACTGCTACCTAATGCAGTATAGCTGTTCTTCCATAGAGGTGTTAATACAGGATATGTTTCAGCATTGAGATCATATTAAGTGTTTCTAATATTTTGTCCCCTAATGTAAAATTTGTAAAAAGTTTAGAAACACCTGCCAAAATCTAGTCCAGTGCACCCCCACCTTTTATAAAAAAAATCCTGTGACCTCTGTAATTAACACCGATTTGAACGTACACATTTCAAGCTATGTCACTAAAACCTGAAACTGAAAGATGTAGAATTCAGAGCAGAGCTATTGTATTTAATTCTACAGACACCCACTGGATTTTTACATGACATTACGGCACCAAATAATGATTATTTTCCTTGTTGAGTGATCTGCTGATTATTTTCTCAATTCATTCTGTGTATAAAATGTCAGAAAATTATGACAAATTCCCATTATAATTGCTCACATTGGAGTTTTACAGATTACAGACCTAAAGAAATTCAGTTTATGACATAATAGAGGGGGGGAAAAAGCAGGAAATACACAAAATTGAGAAGCTTGACTAATTGGTTGTTGGGTTTGTTTCAGCACCACAGAACACACAACAGATAGTGTAATCATACTTCTGCATGAGACCTCTATGAAAATATCCATAATCATGCAACGCTGCACTCTTTATGATCATATATGATGTTAAAACTTGTACTGTACTTTACATTTGCTTATTAAATGTTTTGTTATGTGCCAGTGATTTTGTTATAATGTCAGTGATGTGGAGAGTGAAGGTGGCTGGCCTCAGCTTGGTGGCTGTTTCTCTCAGTGTGGAGCTGCTTGTCTGGCTCCTCCGTCGCCTCAGACCAAGAAAAGCCCTCAATGAGGCCCTCTTCTTCCCCTCAGAGATCGCCTGTGTGGAGCACATCTTCACTCCTTCTTCACCACAGTAAGTGAAACATAATCACTGTAATGAGTATCACTGGTACCTAAAAACCAGAGTTTTATTTAAATGAAAGCATGAACAAGATCACTAGGCCTATTTGCGTTTCACAACAGACATGAGCTATTTCAACCAGACAGTTGCTTTGCTCCTTTTCTGGAGAAGCTTCGTGAGAGATGTAGGAGCCACCATGAGTAATATCAGAAGACCACTTAATAATACAATTATGTTTTCTTTCTTGTTTTCCCTCTTCCAGTTCCTGTGTTTGTTTTTTGCCTCATGGTGTTGAGACCTCTTTCTCCCGTCTGCTTCGCCACATCCTGTCTACTTCCTCTTCACTGGATTTGTGTGTTTTTGCCTTCTCCAACATGGATCTCAGCAGGGCTGTGCTTGCACTGTATCGTAAGGGCATAACCATCCGTGTCCTCGCTGATAAGGACTACACTGCCATTACTGGCTCCAAGATAGGGGTCCTCCACAAAGCTGGTAAGGGAAACAAATCAGCTCATTTTTAAAATCATTGTGAAATAGACTGTCACTGTGACAAAACGTCCGCATGCCAGGAAATTTCATGAATACAGGAGTCATATTTAGCACCTATATTATTTGTTAAAAGAAAAAAGTCACACCTATTGCTGTCGGGGTAATTATCATGGACAAACATCACTTAAAATACGGGAAGGATGACTCAGGTCTTATTCAACAGAAGGTGCTCACTCTATTCCCAGACTACCTGTGTCACTGTCATGGTGTCTCACAGGGCTCCTTAATGGTGAACAGAGTGATGATGGGAACTGTCTGGGTGAGTGGAGGTTGCCACTATGAGCCCTCCTTTGAGTCTGAGTAATCATGCTCTGAAAGCACAGAAAGATTTTGTGTCACGTGTCAGACTCAGGCTGTCTCACTTTCTCTCTCAGCCCTCTCTGCATTTAATAAATTACTGCTACTGTATAATGTTAAGTAAGAATTACGTAAGTAAGAAGTTGGCAACCAGGCAACAAATTTCATTAAGCAAAGTGTTTCTTAGTGTGTGTGTGTGTGTGTGTGTGTGTGTGTCTGTTGACTGCAAGCCGTCAATCAACTTGTCTTTTCATGCCGTGTCTGTTGTGTTTTAACATTGTTCTGCTGAAACCTTTTATGACTGGCACTAAAGCACAGGACTTTGTCATAGTTTGAGGCATTGGTTTGGTTATTATGAAACATTTCCCCTCAATAAGGGAGACATTCACAGATGTGCACAGGCTCTTAAAATGATCTTCTGTACTGTCCGTGTCCTGGGGTCAAAACTAGAAATACAGTGAACCTTTACTGCCAGTTGCATTTATTTCTCATCATTTCTGGTTCCCTTCACCTTAAGCTGTCTAATAAAAGTATTTTTAAAAGCCAAAAAGACATTTACACAGGGTAGTTAAGGATTTCTTGGGGACATGATCCTTAAGAGAGAAATAGTCAGAAAGTCTACTGTTTAAAACACATTTCAGGTAATTGTTGTTCACTTTCTTATAAACAGGCATGCGTTAACCTTTCAAGACACAACTTGCCTGTGTAATCTCTCTCTTAGGTTAATCTGTAGTCCAGTCTAAACATCACTGAGATCAGATAACCTAAAGTATTGTTTCTAAGATGTTTCCACCACTGACTGTATATATGAAATAAAATACACTGCTCAAAAAAAGTAATGGAACACTTTTTATATAATCTAATAACTTAGTAAAAACTAATTTAACAAAGAAATTGCTAGTTGTACACACATCAGCATTATATCTACCAAAAACCACAGAAATGACCTCTGGACAAAAAAAGATCTCATTTGTACTTTGAGTTTTTAGTTTGGCTCCTGTCCCATCCGCTGGCATGGAGGAGCCAGGATTTATTACCTATACTGCAGCCAGCCACCAGGGGGCGATCGAGTCGCGATGGCTTCACTTCTGGGAGCTGTCAGACCATCCACTGTATACAGTCAGTGGTTTCCACTATACAATTGAAAAGATTAACATTTAACATAAATACCTTATTCTAGAGTTGTTCCATTTAGTGCATATACTTGGTTTATGTAAAATATTTATTAGAATTTTTTAGTTAAGTAAATTTTATTTTGTTCCATGAGCTGCAGTACTCTGTAATAATGGCAAATGTACTTATCTCCTTATTGCTGACACCAATTTTCAGTAAAAATAAGTTTGATTTATAGTGTGGAATACGATTTAGTTACATAATTTACTGTATCTAAAAATCAGACTAGTGAGACTAACATAATGGCCTGTTTGTCAGATTGATAACTCCTCAGGATTTATGTTTTTCTTTTTTTTTCCATTTAAATGATTTTTTTTTCTGCTCAGCCTGAAAAATTGGTGTCTTATGATTTTTTTTGGAGAGGATGAAAACACTCATGTGACCTTAAAAGTGCTGAATGAATGTTGTAAGCGTGTGATGTAATGGTGTTGTATTTAGGTTGAATTGGCTATGTAGTGAAAGTACAGAGGTTTAAAAGCCTTCGGGTTGGTTATGGTGCACAGTGTTAACACTTCTATTTCACCATCCCTCATGTCAGCAGTGCCAGCACTGTCAATTTAACAATTATGGTGTTGTCATATTAAAGAGAGTCCTTAAACTTCAAACAGCACCATGTTCCTCCATGTGCTGAGTCCATCCAACACAAAGCGCCTCACATGGTATTTAACCTGTACAGATTCACTCCAGAATTCCACAGTATGTGCTTGCTCATCACCTGTATTGTGTAAGGTACTGCTTTCTGCTCCCTCTCCACCCTCTTGTCCCCAGGGATCTGTGTGCGGTGCAATGCCAACTCTGTGCACATGCATCACAAGTTTGCATTGGTGGATGGCCGGCTGCTCATCACCGGCTCCCTCAACTGGACGCTGCAAGCAGTGCAGGGCAACATGGAGAACGTTCTCATAACTGAGGAGCCCGACCTGGTGCAGCCCTTCATCAAGGAGTTCCACAGGTTATGGGTGCTCAATGATCCAGCTCAGTGCCCAAAGCCAAGTGACCAGAAACCCACTCAGGTTTTCACTAAAACCAGTAACTAATTAGACATGATGAATGTTGAGTTAGAGCCCTTGAACCTTTGAGGTGAAGCCAGAAAATGCCTTCAGTAGTGATTTTTTTCTTTTTATGAAGAGGCTGTGTTTCTTTAAGTGTTTGACAATTTGTTGGATGGTAGAAGTTTTAAGGCATGTTTGGTATTTTTATGAAAAAAGGTCTGACTCTGAATCTGTAGTTAAGAGTTTGTGGTTTGAGTTTCATTTGTGCATGCCTGTTATTTTACTATGTGCAAAACAAGCACTGCTTCAGTTGTGCTGCTTGACACAGGCTTAATCCAAAGATAATAGACTAAAATATATAGGCTAATATGAAGACAGTCGGGCAAATTGAAATCTCCTGTTGTTAGTGAGAACATTTCAGTTTAAGTCTATGTTTAGGTTTTTATATATTGTGTCACAGGAGATTCCACTGTTGATTGAATTGATAGTCAACTTGGCTCAAAGAAAGCAGAGGGTAGAAGACCACAGATGACTTTTTAAACATAGATTCATTTAACAGAATAACCTTTATCTAAGGACTGTAAAGTATGCAAATCAATAACATCAGTGGTAAATGGAGTATGTGTACAGCAAATGGACACATCTGTGTGGTATTGAGACATACACGGATGCACTGTACATTTTGAGTTCACAGGAGCGTTTATGGAAAGCAGGTTACAGTTCACACTATCTGTATACAGTGGAGTATAATTAGAGATTGCACAGCTTGTAAAAATAGTTTATTGTTCAGGGTGTGCGTCAGTGGTTTCAGGAGCTACAGTATGTTTTTCTGAGCACCAATAAAATCCCTCTTTCACACTGCTGTTTTGGCAGGTCCATTGCATCATTGCCCTGCAGCTGTAGTTTTTCTCTTGCTCCAACATGATTCACTCTGCCTTCGAATTCACAGAATGCCTCAGCAAAAACACAACCATACTCCTTGATGTTTAACAATACCCCCCTTTGAGGTTTGCAGACGTAAAGGCCTCAGCTGGTTTGTATGACTTAAGACTTGTGGCCTAGTATTTTGTCAGTTTATATCATGAAGTTCAGTGTAATAAATGGTAATGTTACCTTTTATGAATCAGCAGCTGCATTTTATTGGCAGTATATAAGTGACCAGTGTAACTGGGAAGGCATAAGTTTGAGAATTAGTAGCCCAGCTAAGGCCTGCTCCATTCAACACAGGACCTGTACTGTACTTTACTCCTGTGCTGCATCAAGTAGGCAGCAACAGGCAGAGTAATACCGGAAGTATGGCTATTTAACTTTCAAATTAAAAATATGGTAATTGGTCAAGCCAAAACATCAGTGTTGTATTACTTGAGTCCCATATTTTATTATGCACACCTTGACTGAGGGGTTCACAAAATAAAAAATAAAAGTAGAATACTACATAATCTATTCGCATTATACAACATGAAAACATACTAATAACGATCATTAGATAAACTGTCTAATCAACTCAGAAAACCATTCAGCAAAAACATTGAAAATGGGCTGTTTAAGGCATCTCTCTCTCTTGTCTTTGTTTGGCTAATTGAATAATCAGCTGTGAAAGAAATAGGCCTAATCAACAGAGTAAATCAATCGATCTATAGTATATCAACATTAATTAAGAGGTCACACTATAGACTCTACAGTCTGTGGGTCACACACGGATGCAAAAATGTACAACATTGTTCTGAAGTTGTCAAAACAATCAAGGAACCCCAATTTCCACGTCTGAACCTTAGACACTAGCTACGTGTTGAACGCCACCTGTTTTATGTAGAAATGCAACACCATTGGAAATATTGGTTTTATTTTGAAGGTCTTTACCGGTAGCCCCTCCCTATATATCCCGTGTAACTTGGCTGGTTTCACAGTGAACGGGCACATGCGAGGTCTGGAGATCTGGGAGCGGTGCGCGTGAAGAGTATCGTCCGACACCAGCGCACAGCCCTCGGCTCTCGGGTAGAGGCGGAAGGTCGCGGGAAACACGGAGGCAGGAGAACGACTCATAAGCAGCATCCAAGGTAAGTAACATTCACAGTTTTCAGTAGAGGCTGTTTGTTTTGCCTTCAGGTGGTAGTTGAGTTACCGTATGGTTGGTCTGTGTAGGCAAATTAGGCTCAGAATATGAAGTGTTTTGCTCCGTGTCTGAAGTATATCAGGTTGGTTTGCAGGCCTACATAGATTAGATTAAATGTCAACAAGTGTCATGATCCCATATGTTCTCATAGGCTACAATTTACTTAATCTCTAAAATTTAACCTCGTCCAGGTGTCAACATCTGCTGTTAAGTGATATCTTGTATTATGAGGCGGTTGCTTTTATGCAACTTGATCAGTTTTCCTCTGCTAAAGTAAATGCAGCCAGCGTAACCTACGCACAGGTTTGTGCGTGTTTACATATTTTGATGTGCAGGCGCATGCGTAGATGTTGGCGCTTTCAGCATGCCAGACAGCCCTCGTTTATGGTTTTGGAAGTGGCAATGCTGAGCTGGTCTCCAGAGAGATCTCAGCAATCAGGGAAGAAGAGTGTAGGATTCAGCTGAGCCTCTCTCGGACAGCAGGAGGGGGGTGGGGCGGGTGGGTGAATGGATAGTTCAGACGCAGATGGGTGGAGAAAGGAGAGAGAGAGAGAGGGTGGACAGGCTGAGATGGATGGATGATGACAGGAGGGATGCATAGATGGATGAATATGAGCGAGAGTAAAGGAAGATAAATGGATGTGTGTTTAAGTGGGAGGTTCAGTGGGTGGATGAATGGTCAGACAGATGATGGATGAAATAAACAGGAAGGGGAGCAGGATCTATCGCCCCCCCCTCGCCCACTGCTCAGCGTCCACTGATCCTGATCCAGTAAGTTTTATAACAGGAGTGCATGTGACAAATGGACAGAGAGCAGTGGGTGACTGATAGAGGGTGAGGTGGCTCGAGGAGCACGCTGTGGCACAGAGATGAGAGCTCAGAAGGATGAGGGAAGGAGACAGACCATTTTTAAAATAACGCTTCCATTTACCAACATCAGCATCTGAATGTGGATGAGTTTCACACTCGTGAATTTTAACATGAATCTTCAACGAGCGGAGATTTCTCACTCTGACATTTGAACTCAAGTACTGTCGTCTCAGACATCCAACCCAGCATCAGGCCAGTATCAGCCAGGGAGGCTTGTGATAAAGCCAAATGATGCTCATTTCTCATATCAGACACCAACTGCACCAGTTATTTGTAACTCTTAAGTTGCATGTTCTCACCAGCATCACCTGGAAAAATACTTGGCATATTTATGTGCTTCAGATCATTCTTGTGTGCTGTAAATGTAACCTTCGTGTTTACAAGACAAACTACGGATGCATTTCTCTCTTTTAGTTAATATTAGTATAGGCTGTGTATACCTCAAGAAACTCCAACCCCCAAACGACTGTAAAGTTGAATTCTCTCTTCTCTTTCAACAAAAACTAACATTATCACCTTTATGAAAGTAGGATTTATTGCAGGGCGGTTGAATTAGAGTCCATTAGGTTTAGTTTTGGTGTATCTAATAAATGGGCAAATGAGTGTTTATAAACTAAATATGAGTCTCAACTGTCATTTAAGAGAATCTTTGCTACAAGACTAATACATTAGTTAACTGTCATACGTTGATGTGGGAGTTCATAGAAGTTTTTTAAAAATATTATTGAAGACAGAGAAGCAGCAAATTCCAGCATTAGGATACAGCTGGAACCAAAGAATATTAGTCGTTTTTGCTGATAATTAAACAGTTCAGCAATTCTGTCGGTTAACATTCCTGCGGATGAATTGTCTGCCTACCAGTTGGCTGATAAATCAGCTAACTGTTTCAACACCAGTTGTTTGCACAGTTCAATTTTGTTTTTGTTGCATACAATCATGGCCAAAAATATCGGCACCCCTGCATTTCTGTCAGATAACACACCACTTCTCCCAGAAAATTGTTGCAATCACAAAGTCTTTAGCATTCTCATGCTTATTTCTTTTTTTGCATTGGAACAACACAAAAAAAACTGAGAAGAAAGCCAAATGTGATCCATTCCCTGCAGAACTCCTAAAATGGACTGGACTGAATTAGTGACACCTTTTTGAAACCATCAGAAATGGTTGTATTTCAAGCATGTTTTAATTTTTAGCAAAAGAAGAGCAAACAATTGTCTGAGAATTTGAGAACCACAATAGTGGAAAGGCCTGGACAATTTCAAGGCTACAAGTCCATCTCCAGAGATCTGGATGTTCCTGTGTCCACTGTTTGCAACATTGTCAAGAAATTTACAGCCCATGGTGCTGTAGCTAATCTCCCTGGACATAGAAAGAGACAAACAGATGACAGATTGCAATGAAGGGTCATTTGAATTCAAGCTGACCTGCAGGCACAGGATGCAACACTGTCAGCTCGCACTATCCGTCACCATCTGAATGACAAGGGACGCTATGGTGAGACACAGGGGCCCCCCACTGCTGACACAGAAACATAAAAAGAACCATATTGGAGTTTGCCAAAACTTACCTGAGGAAGCCACAATCCATCTGGGAGAATGTCCTGTGGACAGATGAGACAAAATGGAGCTTTTTGGTCGAGCACATAATTCATTTTCAGAAAACAAAATGAGGCCCTGAAAGAAAAGAACATGGTCCCTACAGTCAGACAGTGGAGGTTCACTGATGTTTTGAGGTTGCTTTGCTGCTTCAGGCTCTGGATGTCTTGACTGTGTGTATGGCTTTATGAAGTCTGAAGACTACCTGAATTCTGGGGCGCAATGTAGAGTCAGTGTCAGAAAGGTGGGTCTCCATCAGAGGTCATGGGTCTTACAGCAGGACAATGACCCAAAGCAGAAATGTTTCAGACAATGTGCTGGAGAGTTCTGAAGTGACCAGAAATGAGTCCAGCTCTAAATCCCACAGAGCTCCTGTGGAGAGATCTCAGAACAGCAGCTGGGAGAAGGAACCTTTCAAGTCTGAGAGACCTGGAGCAGTTGGCAAAGGAAGAGTGGTCCAAAATTCCAGTAGAGAGATGGAAGAAACTCACTGATGGTTATAGGAAGAGACTGATTTATTTTATTTTATTTATTTTGTCCAGAGGGTGTGCTACCACATATTAAGTTGAGGGTGTCAATAATTCAGTCCAGTCCATTTTTGGAGTTCTGCGTGGAATGTATCAGATTTGTCTTTCTTCCTGCTTGTTGGGTTGTTCCAATGTAAACAACAGAAATAAACACGAGAATACCACAGAATTTGTAGTTGCAACACTTTTCTGGAATAAGCAGTGAGTTATCTGACAAAAATGCAGGGGTGCCAATATTTTTGGGCATGACTGTATCCTATTAGAAACACACCTTTTTATGAGGTGGAAGTCTCTCCTCTTGTTCTTAATTCGATAGATGGCCTTAGCCAGAGATCCAGGGATGGGCCCGGAGCAGAGAGATGCAGCTGACCAGAACTTTGACTACATGTTTAAGCTCCTGCTCATCGGCAACAGCAGCGTGGGGAAGACTTCCTTCCTGTTCCGCTACGCAGATGACTCCTTCACTTCAGCTTTCGTCAGCACAGTAGGCATCGACTTCAAAGTCAAGACCATCTACAGGAATGACAAGAGGGTCAAACTGCAGATCTGGGTGAGCTGAAACGCTACACTGAACATTCATCTTGGAAACACGCTGACTAATCTGCGCACAGAAGGCAGATTAATGTCTGTATGCAGATGAGTTAACAGGGACAATGTATAATAATTCAGTTCTGTTACAAACAAGTCTCTCAAAACAGAAATATGCATCTTACCGTTGCATCCACAGTGATTAATGTGTCATTTATGTTGGGTGTGTTGTAGCTTATCTACCACATACTTCTTCAGCTATGTGTTCCTTTACAGGGAGCAGTTTAAAGTTGGAAAGAGAGAACAAGAGTCTTGCAAGAGAGAGATCCAAGAACAAAAGTAGTTTTTAACATTGTCAGCATTGTTCTGAGACTCATTAAGTGTTGTGTGACACTGCCACTAGCCAGCAGTTAGAATAGTGTTGGACGTAAAGGGTTAAGGAAGGCATAAGAACAGCAAGCTCCCCAAAACCTTTTCTTTTTGATTATTCCTAACCAATATTTTTGGAATCACTAGGTCTGGAAAATTAGAAACGGTTTGTTTATTCTTTGCATGTGGATTGGCAAGTATTGGCAAATCTTCTGATTTAAAAACAATCACTTTCCGCAGTTTAAAGACCTTTTTTTCCCTTCACCTTCCTGCTTTCACACTGTTTACCACTGCTTGCACATGATGTGGTTCCTCCTCTACAGTGGAGAGGACATCTGATAAGGGCCAAAAGTTCACACCACTACAGTTTTTTTCAGATTTAATTCTCATGAATCTGGCTCATAAAAGGATGAAGTGCTACTTTACATTTATGCACCATTAGCAGTTAGTCAAGGGCTTTTCCAGACCAGTGCCATATGTATACACACAGGAATTTCAAGGTGGGATGTGGGTCATTGGAAATGGGTGATTACATCGATTTATTTAAATCAAAGATGCTGATATTTAGAAATCTTAACTAAATATGTGGCTGTGTTTTTGTCCCAGGCTTCAGACTTTTTCAGTGTTTGCAGGATTGTAAAACAACACAGAAGCCATGACTCCCCAGTATTTCTGTGGTTTGGGTGGGGAGTCTGATCATTTAACAAATAAATTAATTAGGACAAACACATTTTGTACATATCTGTGTTTAAGTAGGAACACAATCCTTTGTTGAACTGATCAACCAGCTAAAATGGATCACACCTTAATTTCCTGTACTGATGCGTAGTATTTTGGCTGAGAGACAGTGGTGTATCAAAGGCCACAAACCCAACACACTGACACATGTATTACCTGTCATATCATCAAGGATAAAGAAACAAACTAGAAGTCTCCATGTTGACTCAGTTTCAAGTGAAACAACAAGCGAGAAGAACAAAAACTTGCCTATAATAGTGGAGTTAGTTTCACAGGATTAAGATCCTAGTTAGCCTCCAGTGAAAGTGTCATATTAGAGAGAGCTGTGACACCCACATCACTGAGGTCTGAAACACTACTAATAATTTTTGATAGAGTGCTCAGGAGGCTTCTTATTCCCTGTGATGTGTAAGAAATTACTATACAAAGCAAACTGGTTTGACAGACAATATATCAGCAAAATTGAGTACAAAACGCTGCAGTGTCTTTAGTGTCAGTGCTGTAATTTACTTGAGATAATTAAAGGAATTTAGCTTGGGTTGAGAGGTGCTACAATACAGGCTCGACCAAATGCAGAGTGAATAGTGCTTTTGAAAGTGCTGCTACACAGTGTAGATTATTTATCCTCACCCCATTCCCCAGTTTGCCTTCTTACACGCCGCTGCCTGTCATGGATGTGGCGTAAACTAATTTCTCACACTCTGGAGTTAATGACAGTTGATGTTTAACATCGTCCCCAGACAGCAGGGTTCATGAAAAATGCATGGGTTTGAGCTGCTGGAGCTGAATGTGCTTACGTGCAGACTGACACCCGGGACAGATCTATTACTGAATGGTAGTGGAAGGCAAGGGCTTGTGCACAGTACTACTGTTAGATGAAAGTAATACATCTTTTTTTTTTTTTTTTTTGTCCTTAATGTATTCAACTTAGGATGGCTTCTTAGCTCTGCTTAACAGTGATACAGCTGCATACTTTTACACAGGGAAGGTGCCAAGTATAAGTAAAATTTTATTGACTGCTGAGCTACTTGAATGGGTTTCATGGGGCTGTTAAAACAAGCTCAGCTCATTTTGTAACACTCTGCACCAAAAATGGGCATAAAGGGAGTTTGAGACAGTATGGCTCCTTCGGCATGTGCTGTAGTTCACTGACAAGCCCTAAATCTACAACTTTAAGAGTGCTTGATGTTAATGTTGTGCCTGCCAGCTGCTGGCATGGCTTTTCATCAGAGGAAAACAAATAAACCTAGTAGATGAATCAGTTAGAAAGTCATATTTCTGAATCTACAAAAAGATTATAATTTAATGGTTTAACAGTTTTCCCATAATTAGATAAGAGCATAAAGAAGAAAAATAAAATCGTCTTAAGGTATTTTCATCCCTTAAGGCATAGCCAAAAGCAGAGAGCATATCCTGGTGTATTTACAGGGTGTGGCAACATCAGCACATGACTGGAGGGATTAACTTCTCCCCCAGGAGAGTTAATGATCTACTTTTACTCCTGAGAGCAGCCAAGTTAACCATTGTTTTCTCCCACTGGTAATCCTTTTTTTTTTTTTTTTTTTGTATTTTCACTTCATATGTTTTAAAGTGTTTGACTTAATTAATGTTAACTGAATTACTTGTCAGCTCATTTGTCAGGAGTGAATTTTGTTTTCTTTTTGGGTAACACTTGTTTATTCCCATTTTCCCTGTGGTTGTTGCCCCAGGATTTCACACAATAATCATGTGTTTACAGGACACGGCGGGCCAGGAACGCTACCGGACCATCACCACAGCTTACTACAGAGGGGCCATGGGATTCCTGCTCATGTATGATATCACGAGCCAGGAGTCGTTCAGTGCTGTTCAGGACTGGTGGGTAGAATTACAGATATGATGCCATACTATTACATCCACCACGTGTGTGTGTGTGTGTGTGTGTGGGTTATCCAATAGAGAATGTGAAGATACGTCATACCATATTAATTGTTGGGATGGGGGCGCCATTTTCCAAGGTGCACTATATTTACGTGCTTATATTCTTGTATTTGTGGCTAAAAAGTTGCTTAAATTGTTTAGATCTCACTTAATTGATTGTGATAATTTCAGATGGTTAACCTTAGCTGGTTGTAGCTAACCTGGAGTGGATCTATAGATCCCATCTATGAAAGCGACAAACTGAAAAATGACTGCATCTTGATCTCAGCTCTCAGTTCGGGAGCTAATGCTGGCTAGCAGCTGTCGGCAGACAACAGAAACCCTGCAGATGAATCCATTTCTGTCCTGTCTGTGCTCAAAATGAACACTAAAGTGGACATTTGGACACAGTTGAAGCATCCACTACTGTATGTAGCTGTATGGGATGGTGTGTATATATGAGTGTGATGCTTCAAACATGGAGCATTTACCCAAAATTCAACACAGTGTGATGCCAACTTCAACTTTTTTGTATAGGTAAAGTCGTTTGTAAAGTGATGTGATCTGTTGTGTGTTTTAATATACAAGATGAAACCTGGGGAGATTTTTCCATTTCTGCAGCAACAGGATATGTCAAAGAAAAACGGAATATATTCAAAAGACAGAAAAAAGTTTTCCCACATCTGACATTATCACTCCAGTTGATGCCTCATACAGTACATCATATACTGGAATGTTACTACTGATGCATTTAACAAGTTAGGATCGTTTTAATGGCACAGCTGGTTGAGGTACGTCATACGCTGTGCGGTGGTTAAATCTTAATTTGCATGTAAAATGATTAACTTTTAGATAAATGTAAAATAATTAAAAGTCCAAAGTTTGACTCTAAAATATAGAAGCATGAAGCAGAAATATATGAAAATGTCAAGTAAAATACAATGTACAGCAAGAAAAGAACACTTCTTCGGTGCTGTGGAGAGAGAGAGAGGTGGTCGCTGCAGGACATAAAGTATAGTGGCTGAGAAGATGCTGTGTTGGCGTTTCCCAGGGCAACCCAGATCAAGACGTACTCATGGGACAACGCTCAGGTAGTGCTGGTAGGAAATAAGCTGGACTTGGAAGAAGACAGGCAGATTCCCACTGAGGATGCACAAAGACTGGCTACAGAGCTAGGTCAGCTCACACACACTTTTATCACATGCTCAGCAAGAACACACAAACCAAACATTGCTTAATGATTACTCATAAGTCATGCCATTTTCCTCTCTCCAGGCTTTTTATTCTTTGAGACCAGTGCCAAAGACAACATCAATGTGAAGCAGGTCTTTGACAAGCTGGTGGACGTCATCTGTGAGACGATGAACGAGAGCGTCAACGGTGATGCCAGCTCATCAGTCGGTCATAAAGGAGATGGTCTGAATAGCGCACCCCACAGCAACAAGGGTGGCTGCGCATGCTGATGGCTGGTAGTGGAATTTCAATGAGTGCAGGTTGCATATGTACACACATACAGTACAGTACGTATACAGATGAACTCCACTGCCATTGTGAATGTACTTTACCATATGTTGCTGCATTGCTAATGCCTGACTCTCCTTTTGTTTAATCTTTTCTCAACTTGGTGGCATCTCCAGTGCCTCCTACTAATATTTAATGTGACTGTTACACTGAGATGCCAAAGAGCTGCACTGAGCAGCTGTGCCTTTTGTCCGACACCTCTGCTTTAGTATTTACCATTCATACACTACAGTGGCACCTGTTGCAGGTGAAGATGTGAATCAAGGGCATGATGGCGTTGTTAGCACTGTGACTGGCTTATGTCATGCTACCCCCTTGTGGGTGTTATGGGAAAATGCATCAGTATGACTCACAGCCCTACACACTCCTATCCTGTGAATGAGCCCTGTGTAATTCTGCAGCAGAAAGCTTACTAACTGTTCAGTGCAAAGTCAAACAAACCTGAAAGGTGCTCTGTCATTCCAGGTACATGTGCATAGTCCAGACTTGTTACTGCTGTTTGGGAGGGATGTTCTCATTTTCTTTCCTTCATTTGTACCTTTTATATAACACTTCTAAAATTAGGAGATGTTCCATAGGTTTCCACTCAGTGCTGACATAGGAAATTAATCACTATAAAATCACCAAAGTGTTTTTTTTTTTCATTTAATGGAAAATAAAACATTCATCAGGTTTGTGTTTTTGCTCAACATTAAATTATTGGATTGGCTCTTCTTTTTGTAACAGTCCTGTGTTTTTTTTTCTTTTTTTTTTTTTACCATGAATTGGAGTTCTGGTCATAAAAGTGTCCATGTTTACAGGACTTTGGTCACCAGGAAATGTTGCTTTCCCCAAAAGCAAAGTCACTGACATGTAGGATATGCGCTCCTGTTTTTTGCTGTGTGTGTGTGTGTGGGAGGGGGGGGGGTTGTGTGTGTGTGAAACCTGTGAAAAGATAAAGGGGCACGTGAAAGCTCTTTTGAGCAGACACTCCTGATTGATCAGCAGACAGACAGACCTCGCTACAATACAGGTATGAAGTTCTTGTTCACAATTTTTAATTCAAATGTTCAACTACATGTTCAGCAACTCAAACCCTTTTAGTTTTAATCTAAACCCTGACTCTTTAAACACATAAGGAATTAACAGATACCAAAATGGAGTGCGGTTTTTCCAGACAGAACATTTACTGTAAAAAGTTTAGGTACCATGGGATGAGGAACGACAGACACATTGTGGTTGATAAATTACATTCTGTTTTAATCAAAGATATATCAAAGTAATCTCAGTAGTTATGTGACATCTGTTGCT